GAGAAATACACTCTTACTCCACAGCCTGCAAATATTGTTCATCCTGTAAGACCTGAGCAAATGTTGGATCCTAGAGACCAGTCATATCTTGGAACCTTACTGGGGCTGGATACAGCTCCTACTGTACAGAACATTTCAAACAACGAACATTCGTGATCAGAGCATAACATTCCACCTAATTTACTAAGCCATTAGCCAACAGGAGGCTGATATGGCAATTAAGATTTATATTTTGTATTTTATTTGGACTCGTGAGTCTTCTGCATAGTTTTTGGGAAAACAGGTTTGTTTACATGATATTTGAACATTTAGGCACACTGATGTATACAGAGAGTGTTTCTTGTGATTTTAAGAGTTTATAAAATATTATAGATGGTCTTTTAAAAATTATGCTCTGAAATATCTTTTAAGGATAGTTGCTGAGAAAATGTAATTATGTATCTGCCTATTAATTTAAATTTTTTTTTGCCTTTCAGCATCTCACTGAGTTAAAGTTATAAGTGTAATAGAAAGCATACTGGAAGAAAAAGGATTGTATCAAATTCATTAGAAATGGTAAGCGTAGGCAGTAACACAAAACACAAACTTCAAATCATGTTTCTCATGTAAATTAAAATTGAATCCTCAGGCATCTTTGGAGAGTTTTTAAATTTCTAAAGATTCTGGAGCCAAGTTAATGGAGGGAGCTAGATAATTCTGGAAAGTGATTTAGATATTTCAAGAACACAAAACAGGGAACTGTAAAGAACACCGGAAGTATAATTAGGCTACCTACATTTGGTCTGTTACTTTTTCCTTGGTCTTAATATTGACTTATGTATGAAGATTTAGACAATACTTTTGTCTAAATTTCTGCCATATGCAATGTTAGCCATATGCAATTTTAGTATATGTTTTTTTTTTCAGTCATGTTTGTTTTCTAAAGTGTGTCCCATACTCGTAAGTTTGAAAGAAATGTCATGTAGCCTATAGACAGTGATAAAGAATTGGCATGATTTATCCTTGTTAGAGCATCAGTTGTACCAGGATCCCCCTTAGCATGTTCATTTTCAAGTTATCTGTGATGAACAAATGTAAAGACAGTTACTTCCAGTACAGCACTCAACTGTTTTCTTTAAAAAAGAAATAAGCACCAATCTTAAATCTTTTGTGAGTTGCTAGCGATTTTTTTTTCCACCGTCTTGCGTTGTTTATAAAGCAAAATCAAGCTCTAGAGAGTATTCTATGTCTTCAGTTATTTTTAGCTTTTTCTTTACTAGAAGTAAGGTTAAAAAAAATAACCTATTTTTAATTATAAAGTCTAGTGTAATTTACCATGAAATCTAGTATAATTTAAGATCATTAAGCTTTCTATTTTAAGCCTAATTTAAGTTTTTCTTCTTTGTTTGTATTGTGAAAATTATGCCAAAGATGATATTGGATATCATTTTATAACCTTCATTATTGCTCACAAGAATTACAGTCTAAGGTAAATTTTTCCCCAGCCTCCCCAGTAATCTGCTATTATTAAATTATTAGATTAAAGTATCTTTAAAGTGGGAAACTGGATCTATATGAATTATCGTTAACTGTTGGTTTTTTCTAGTGACCTGAACACAACCAATCTGTGTTGAAAAGCTCTTTTATCATCCCTTTTCTGTGAACTGTAAACACCGAACCTTTTAAATCCTATTTAAATACTTTGGTGTGAGATTATTTTAGTTCCCATTTACTTCAGTGTTGAGCAGTTTGCAGGAGAGGGGCCAGAGCTGCCTGAATGTTCATACTTTGAAGCTTGTGCCCTATCGGATTCTTAACACACCAAAGATTTCTGTTAGCTGTTAAGTAGTGGCAGAGTTATAGTATTTTAAGTGTTACCGATACTTAAATAGGACTTAGCCAAAGAAGCACAATAAAAGTCCTAAACTTTAAGAAGTTCAGTTTTTGAAACAGGACTATGTATGTTTAACTGTTCTATGTTTGTATCTCTAAAGTAAAATTTAGAGCTGTGCTCTGGGAATGTTCAGACTGACATGCTGTAAATATATCTGGTAAGAATCTGAATACTAGCAAATATACAGCAATAATGAGGCCTTTGAATGCCACCTTCTGAAAGGACACTATCAAGTACTATACTTCCTGCTTTCTAACTCCACCTTTATCTCCTTTCCTAAGCAAACCATTTTTCATCTTTACACTCCATGACATGGAAACTACTGTTTTATCTGTAGTTTTCAAGTTTATATGTACGTGTCATATTACCATGTGTTGTGAAACATGAGTTCCATCATTTGTAATTGTACGATTAAAAGTAAACTGACATCAGTTGGGTCAGTGCAGTTCTCAGAATTAGAAGCCTGTTTATTATTTCTTGTCTCTTCTGGCCTACTATAGAAGTAGGTATTGTAGGATTTCGATAAAACAATGACTTAAAATTGGTTGGTAACTAATTTGTTTTCTTTTGAAGTCCAGTTCTTTGGCAAGGCATTCTAGTAAAATAGTAGAAGAGAATTTAGAGCACATTTACTTGATAATGTCCTTTTAATTTTTTTTTGTTTTTTTTTTTTTGTGATTGTGCCTTTTACGTATATTCTGATAATGGCTTTTTTCTGTGATTAGTTGAATATTCAGAAGGAGTTAAGGTCAATATCTTCTGAAGGGCTTCATGTTTTTGGATGCCCAACAAGGAACAGATAATAAAAAGGACTTAATTTTCAGGAAAAAATGAGCTCTATCTTCACTGTTTGGACGGCCAGAAATACTAGTCATTCCTGGAAAAAAAGCAAAACAAAACAATATACTAGTTATACTAGACATTCTTTTGTTTGCAGATAATCAGACTAGTTAATGTTTTAACCTGCTGGTCAGGCTGATCATTGCCAGTTGACAGTGAGTAAAAATAGGAAATATTACATAGTTTTTATTTTTAATATCATTAGTTGTAACTCTTACGGCTTTACATCTATTCATGTATAAGCTGCGTAAATTTTATGGACTGGTACTTCATTTGGTGGGTGGAAGTAGCTGATCTCTAGTGGCAGATGGTTCCTTTTGAGAGTTCTGGAGTTGAAGGACAGAACTCTGAAGCTCACATCTGTGTGGGTCAAAACTCCTTAGGTGTCTAGTACCTCCATTTTAATATGTGTGTGTACTCTTAACCTTAGTCATATCCTATTGACCCAGAGAGCATTTTTACAATACAAGCTGTCTTGTATCTGGCAGTAATTGATTCAGTTGACTGTTAATTGCCAAAGAAGGAAGCAGGTCTCTCAAAATGTCTAAAGAATGATGAGTGGCACATTGAAAGATGTTGGTCTTTTCCACGTGCTGACCTTTAGGGAGAGGGATTGGACTCCACATTGGTGCTCCAAACTTCTACGTAGTTCTGAGAACTTACTGCACTCATTCTGTAAACACTGAATTATGTGCATTTTACTAGACAAATTTAGTAATTTTTAGCTGTTGGCTGGATTGCTGTCCTTTCCTTAAATTGATTTGTCTGTTCAGTTTTATTTATTTATATTGAAATTTACTGCTTGAGCACTGACACTTTTCCTACAGAGGTATCGTTGTCATGGCTTGTTTTTTTTCTGAACATCAGTAATTGTAATGGTGATGATACATCTTCTGTAAGGTTCTGGTTTCCTTAAAATATTTAGTGCTACTTCAGTCCGCATTGTTATTTGTGTAGCTATTTTTAAAGATGGGTCAGGCCAAAACACTACTGCAAAAGATGGACTTTCTGTCATTAAAGAGCTAAGCTTATTTTTCATAGTAATAAATATGAAAGAGTATTTGGAACGCTGAGGAATGACTCTTCAGTTCAATTAAAAAATGATAATAATTATATCAGTGTAGGAACTCGCACAAAGAAAAATGACTGAATTCTGAGAAGGTTATTGGTGGTGGTTTTTTTTTTTTTTTTGCCCCTTGAAAACAACTGCAAAAAATCTGTTTTTTTTCCTGTGTTGAGCATACACACGTACTAGATTGCACTCTGCAGACAGTACATTTATCATAGTGCATTAATGCATTGTCCCTTTTTTTTTTAAACTTTATCATCTCACAGTGATTCGCTTGTTTCATCGTATGCATCAAAGAAGAAACTTGCAGAACGTAGTGCAGGGCAGTCACTGCGTTAAGCCCATAGCGATCCTTCACGTGATTTGTAAGAAATGGTTTGGTATAAAGGGATTTGAAGCATTAGATGACACTTTTTTTTTTCTTTTTTTAATTCCCCGGTACCATTTTGCTCATGTTTAAATGTTGGTCCTTTTATATGAAACAATAAGGTGAAAGAAACTCAATATTTTGTCACTGGTATATGAAATACTGTGTTTTAAATGTGGTCTGTATAGGTTGGAAATTTAGATGGAAGTCTTTAAAGTTGTCTTTTTAGGAGAAATTCTTTGCTGTAAGGAAAAGTTAGAAAGTGTACTGTAAATGTAGGGGTACTCAGTCCAACGTGTAATTTTGTTATGGAAAAGTAAAGTTCTTTTGTCTTAACATTGCTCGCTTCACAGGGCTTCTTGCAGTGGTGCTCGCTCTGTTTTGCTTTCTGCCTTTTCACTTTGAGCAGCGTAGGAGCACACTATGGAAACAACGCTCCGTGTGTCTTTTTACTTTTACAACTCCTGAAAGATAAGCAAAGATGAGGCAACATTTTTGTCACTCTTGTGTGTGTTACTTTTTATTTTAAAATATTTTGTAAATTAAATTTATTTAAAAAAAAAAAAAAAAAAGCTTTGCTTCTGTGTGTTTGTTTTGAGGAAGCGCGGATACTTTAATGTAGTGTCTTGTTGATTGATTTCTGTTACCGTCTCATTTTTAATTAACCCCTGTCGCTGGGTCCGTCCGTCCGCCCGCCCCGCGCCCACGAGGCGGCGCCCTGAGGAGCCTCCCTCGCGCCGCGCTGACCGGCGCTGTCTGCCGTTTAAATAAAACGCCCGGCGCTCATTGGCGGAGCGGCGGGAAGGGCGGCGATTGGCTGAGGCGCCGGATTTGAACCGGCGGGCGGAGGTGCGGCGGTTGGGGCGGCGGCGCAGCGCGGCGTTCCGTTCCCGGCTGCGAGAGGAGCTGCGGCCCGGTCCCGCTGTGTGACCCTCGCAGGGCATGGCCGCGAGCTCGTTCCCCGAAGCGGCGGCTTGGCAGCTGAGCCCCGCCGCGAACCCCCGGAGGCGGCGCTGGGCCGTACCGCGGCCCGAGGATGACTCCGACGAGGAGCCCGCCGTGCTGGTCCTCAGCCACTTCTCGCGGCCGCCGTACCTCAGCTTCGGCAGTCTGCGCGTCGGCTCCTCGCGCACCCGGCGCCTGGGGATCGACAACCCCAACGCGGAGCGTGTCGAGGTGCTCGTCGATCGCTTCCCGGCCTCCGCCAGGGGCTTCAGCCTTGAGCGCCGCTGCTTCTCTGTGGAGGTACGGGGCTGCGGGGGGCGCGCGGGGCTCCGAGCCGTGCTCGCGGGCGGCTGCAGGCGGAGGGGGCCGGGCTTCTCTTCACAGGAGCCTCCTCCGGTCGGCGTGAGGTGCTCCTGCGAGTTGTGGAATCGTGCTGCCCAGGGAGGAGCTGCTTTTCCGACTCGCCGTAGAATAGGTTCGATGGGCAGGGGTCTTAAGGAGCATCTAGTTTGGATCTGCCTGCCGTCTGCAGGGTTGCCAGCCACTAGCTCGGGCTGCCCAGGGCCGCGTCCAACCTCGAACAGCTCCAGGGATGGGATATCCACTGCTTCCCTGGGCAGCCTGTGCCAGGGCCCCACTATAATTCTATGTTAGGATGTATTCTGTCTGTAAGATGCACAGGTAGTTGATTTCTGAGAATGTGGCTTTTAAGACAGAAACAGTAATCATAGAATCACCAAGGCTGGAAAAGACCTGTAAGGTCATCACGTCCAACTGTACACCTACCACTAATGTTTCCTCACTAAACCATATCCTTTAGTACCACATCTAAAAGTTTCTTGAACTCCTCCAGGGATGGTGACTCTACCACCACCCTGGTCAGTCTGTTCCAGTACCTGCCCACTCTGTGGATCTTTGTGAAGGAAGGAGGTAGCTCTCTGAAGATCACCTGCAACAAGGAGCTTGCAAAAGCAGACTGAAGTCCTGCTGTGAAGTATTTAAAAGATCCTGTTGAAATTAATAACTATTAACTATTCATAGAATCATAGAATGGCCTGGTTGAAAAGGACCATAATGATAATCAAGTTTCAACCCTCTGCCATGTACAGAGTCACCAGCCTCCGGATCAGGCTGCCCAGAGCCACATCCAGCCTGGCCTTGAATGCCTCCAGGGATGGGGCATCCACAGCCTCCTTAGGCAACCTGTTCCAGTGTGTCACCACCCTCTGAGTGAAAAACTTCCCCCTAATATCTAACCTAAATGTTCTCTGTCTCCATTTAAAACCATTCCTCCTTGTCCTATAGCTGTTCACCCTCGTAAACATCCATTCCCTCTCCTGTTTATATGTTCCCTTTAAGTATTGGAAGGATGCAATGAGGTCTCCCTGAGGCCTTCTCTAAGCTAAATGTGTACAGTTCCCTCAACCTTTCTTCATAGGAGAGGTGCTCCAGCCCTCTGATCATCTTAGTGGTCCTCCTCTGGATCCATTCCAAGAGCTTTGCATCTTTCTTGTACTTCAGGCCTGGATGCAGTACTGCAGATAGGGCCTCACAGAAGCTAGTGAGAAAGACAATCATCTCCGTTTCCCTGCTGGCCACCCCTTTTTTAATGCAGCCCAGAAGAGAGTTGGCCTTACAGTCTGCAAGTGCATGCTGCTGGCTCATGTCCAGCTTCCCGTCTACCAGGACCCCCATGTCCTTCTCCGCAGGGCTGCTCTCAAGGACTTCTTCACCCAGTTTGTATAAACACCTGGGATTGCTCCAGCCCCCTCATTAGGTTCACGTGTGCCCACTTTTCCACCTTGTTCAGGTCCCTCTGGATGGCTTCTCTTCCTTCCAATGTATCAACTGCATTTCTCTTCTTGGTGTTATCCGCAAACTTGCTGAGGGTGCTATCGATGCCATCGTCTGTGTCATTGATGAAGATGTTGAAGAGCGCTGGTCCCAAGACTGATCCTTGAGGGATACCGCTCATGACTGGCCTCTACCCTGACATAGAACCACTGATGACAACTCTTTGGCTGCGACCAGCCAGCCAATTCCTAATCCATTGACCAGTTCATTCTTCAAATCCGCACCACTCCAATTTAGAGAGAAGGATGTGGTGAGGGACCATGTCAGAGGTTTTGCGTAAGTCCAGATAGATGACATCCATCGCTCTTCCTCTGTCCATTGATGCAGTCACTCCATCATAGAAGGCCACCAGATTGGACAGGCATGATCTGCCCTTGGTGAAGCCATGCTGTCTGTCTCATATCATCCGTTTATCTGTTGTATACCTTAACGTGTCTTCCAGGAGGATCTGCTCCGTGATCTTCCCAGGCACAGAGGTGAGGCTCACAAGCCTGTAGTTCCCCTGGTCTTCCTTTCTATCTTTCTTAAAAATGGGAGTAATGTTTCCCTTTTTCCAGTCACCAGGGACTTCGCTGGACAGCCATGATTTTTTCAGATATGATGGACAGCTGCTCGGCAACCACATCAGCCATACTGTTGACAGATCTTGCAGTATAAGCATGTGTTGAATTAGTGTGTTTTTCGGAAACGGATCGCTTAAAGAGGCAGAACTCAAATGCTCTAAAGATTGGTAGCTTTCACACTGTTTTTGAATTTGACAGTGGTATAAAAATTTTTTGATCTGTTTGTATTGAGACCTGCAGAGTGTAGAAGTGATTTAGTAGGGCACTCTGCATGAAAAATCTTTACAGCATACACAGAGCTCTGTGACTTTCTTGTTTATTTGCAGATCAGACCCTCAGTGTCTTCACTTTTACTCAATGAACTTCTCTGTGTAATCGTATCTCCGCAGATCATTTGACTAAAAAAAATGATGATTGTGTTCACATTCAGCTAAGGTCCTGAAACTTAGCCTCAGATTACAAGTCTAAATGGCATTCTCTGAAAGTGACCTTTTTAGATTAATATGTGCAAAAAATCAAGTAATCTCTTCCACCTACCTTTACCCTAGTCTTATACTTTGTATTGTGTGGTATGTTTATATTGTTCTTGCTTGCTTTCCATTATAATTTCTTGAAGAATTTTATGCTTCTTGAGTAAAATGACATTTTTGGTTGTTTGCTTAAATTAATATAATGAAGGGTGAGGAACTGACATTTAGCGATGGATTACCACTTCATAGTGCCAAAGTATGCATTTCTTCTGTATTCTGCTTCTCATTTGGTTTGATTATTCTTATATTTGATGATAAAAAAGTTTACATAAGCGCTATACATTAAACGTTTCTTTCCTTTAGTCAGGACAAAGAATATTTGTTTATGTAACATGGACCCCGTCAGAAGAAGGCAAGGTCAGAGAGCTGGTAACGTTTGTTGTCAATGGCATTGTAAAGCATCAGGCTGTGCTTCTGGGTGTTGCTGAACAACCTCTGAAAAAAAAGGTGAGTACATTTTTATTGTTTTATCTAATTTCATTACTTTAACATAGCTGAAACGTACTGTTTTCATTAGTCAAAATTCAATGAAGGATTAAAAATTCTTAATTGTTATTTGTGGGAGGGCACATTATATATCATTTTTTTCAGCAGGTTTGAAAAATAGGTACTGGTGTATTACTGTTTAGAGAATAAAATGTGACCCCCCCAAAAAAAATCCCCTATTTTCAATCATGGAAATAAGTTATAGTGAATTCTGGACTAAATGTGTTGACTTTACCACCTTTTTTGAACTATCACCTTGTTGGTACTTTTAGTATGGTGAGTATTTAGATGCTTATTTTATGGCAATCACAAAAAAATTTTGATTGGAAGTGGTGAAAATTTTCTGACCTTCTGCTAAAGGAGAGCTTTAGTCTAGCTTGTGCAATGCCTTGCCAAGTCGAGCCTTGAGTGTTTGCAGAGAGGGAGATTGTAGCTCTACTGTGGACATCCTATTCCTATGTTTAACTGTATTCATCATGAAGATACATGTTTTACCTACACATATATATAAACAGATTCAATCTTCCTCATAAGCAACTTGTGTCTGCTGCCTCTTACTGTACTACCGTAGGTTCTTACCACAGAATCATAGAAATGTCTTGAGATAGAAGCGACCTTAAAGAGCATCTAGCTCCGATCTGCCTGCCATGTGCAGGGTTGCCAGCCACCGGCTCAGACTGCCCAGGGCCCCATTCAACCTGGCCTTAAATGCTTCCAGGGATGGGGCTTTCACAGCTTCTGTAATACCTACTTCTTAGCTGTTAGAAAACTACAGGTAGATCCCTCAAGCTTTCTTCTTGCTAGCCTAAATGTTCCCCTTTTGTCATATGCCTGTGTCATATGTGTTATATGCCTTGGTATTCTTTTTCATAATTTTAAACTTAGAAAGAATGTACTAATGTTCACTTCTATGTCTAAATGTATGCAGAAAGCCAGCATACTAAAATTTATTTATGGTTCTTTTTCAGAAGAGTCTTTGGGATACTATTAAAAAGAAGAACAGTTCAGAAACATCTGTTTCAAGGAAAATTAATAAAAGAAATTCAAAAGTTAAAAATGTTAATAAAACCTTTCAAGTTTCCCAGGAGGCAGATAGACTGAGAAGCCCACTTCAATCATGTGAAAATCAGAATGCAATGCAAAATACTACATCGCCAGTAAATGAGTCTCCTGTTGGCTCAGAAAATAAGTTGCCTATCTCTCCTATTGCACCAGTGCTAGAGGAACTTCGTACTACTGCTTGCACACCACTTTCAATGAGGAGATCTACTACATTCTCAGATATTGCTGCTGCTGTAAATGAGGGGTTGTTGCCTGTAATGGACAGCCACAACTTCAATAAATCACTTGATGACCACAATGAATTGAAATCTGGAAGTGCATACAGTTCTTCTGGATTAGGAAAACCACCGATTTCAAATGATGAAGTAATTCTCAATTGCACGCTCTCACCTGTTTGCACTCCAGAACATTCATCATCTGTGCCCTTTTTAAGTACAAGGAGATTTTTAAGTCCTGATACTTTTGTAAATGACGTTTATCAAGTTGATGGAGATATAGAGCCATCCTTTCCAATTCTGTCACCTGATCAATTTGTGAAAGACATGCAATTGTATATGCAATTGAAGACTCCCAAACCCGAGGCAGCTTTAATATCTTCTACTACAAAGACTTATGTCGTGAAGGAATGTGCCCCCTCAAAATGGAAAAAAAATGGAGACAGACAGACAAAAACACAGGTTCACATAGAACATGTGTTAAATGAAGCCTTTGAGGTGCATAGCGTAGATTCACAAGTGCTTCATCATAACAAATCTGAAGAAAATCACTTCGGTTGTCCTTCTATACAGGAATTTCAAACACGTTCTTCTCAGATAGAACAACCAAAAAAGCGCCCAGTTCTGTCTGCCACTGTCATCAAAAATAAGCCCAATGCTGATGAGAGGAAAAAGATGGAAATGCTTCAGCCCAAATCTAAGAAATGCCTTAATAGCGCAATAATGACGTGTGAAAATATGGTGCCATTATACACAAAGGCTGAAATATCCGAACACCTTCCAGTCATAGGTCCAGTTTCAGCTGGAAATAAGTGTCCCAGTGACAAAGTAAGCTCATCTACTGAATCTACTTCTTTGTGTCGTAAGAGGAAAAATGAATTATCTATGGAAAAAAATAGAGTTGTAGGCTCAGTGCACGTGGAAGAAGTGGAAAGAAAAAGAGCTCTTACATCCAGCATGGACAATAAAACGCATGCTACCGTGAAACTGTCAGCCTTCAAACATACAACCCGAGAGAGAATAGGGCAGAACAAGAAAGCTGGTGAGCTGTACTTTCATTTATCACTTTTGGAAAATGCTTTTGTTTATAAAATTTGTATAGCAAACGGAACTGTCTAGCAACAGTCAAGGATATTTCGTTTCTCTGAAATGTGGGTCTTTGTAATTTCTTTCTTAGAAATTATCTGCATTGTACAAATCTGAAAACTAGATCTGAATTTTGATTATACTATTAGATTCAAATTTACTTCATTCTTTTCTAAATCTTGGTAATGACAGAAACAGAAACAATATCTGGCAATTCCTGAGCACGGTAATTCAAATTTACTAGAAACTTGCTCACTACGCAATGTTGCTGTTAGGTGTACATTTACCAATGTGAAATTTGAATCCCTTTCTGCTGTCATGCATTTTCAAATAGTTCCTAAGTCTTATTTGTGCTGCCTGTTTTTTTACTGTCTGCACTGAGTATGATATAAGCTTTCTGTAGATCTTCCTACCTCTGCAGTTTACCAATACTTTGTTGCTTGAAGATCAGAACAAGCTGAATTCTTGTGTTTCACTGTGTTCTTATGGTTTCAAATGTTCCATTCCCAAATATGTTTAGGAATACGAGAGTGGTAACTAAAAGAAGCATTTCATTTGAGAATCTTCCTGCAGTCTCTGTAATATAACTACCAGGAAAAAAATTATCATGGCTTTGAGATTATAATAGCATGTACTGTTTTCTTCAATTCTTCAGATGAACCATTCTGTATTCTGGATTTGGTTTGGGGCTTTCAGTAATGTGGTTTGAGTTCAGGCTCCTTAAGACAGTCAACATAAAAATTTCCATGAAATGCAATGCTACCCATCAGATTATTTCTATTCATCCACAAGTGTAATTGTAGATGACATCATTTTTGAACTATGTTCTTTTTAGCACTGTTTCTTTCAAAATCTAACCTGTTATTTTAATTACATGTAGATAGTGTAGTAGGTGCTGTTTATAGGCTTCACAAAGAACAATCATATTTTACTATAAAGTTACCTTTGCAACCAGCCTCAGAATAATCCACATTAAACCTAATTTTCTTATTAACAATCAAAATATGCTTAAAACTTATGAGAATAACAGGAGAGGTTGGAATAAGCACAAAAAAAACCACTTCAGCTAAACATATTGACATAGTCTTATCTTTTTTGCTTCCGAGATAACATCTCATAGTTGGGTGTAAGCCAGGAACCAAAGTTCATTTGCAGCATGATACTTTTTTTAATCCTTCATTTGATGTCAGCATGACAAAAAGTTTGCTCTGAAAGTGTTTGTTTTCATATGTTCAGAAAATCTAGGTCTATTAACCCTAGGTCACTTCATCTGTCAAAGCTCTATCAGAATCCATTAGGATCAATTTTAACAGTACATTTCTTTGATGTTCTGAAGAACTGTGAAATAAAATCATTCTTATGTGCTCTTACCTGTTCTTCCCTTATTGATTGTAGACTAGATAATCTGCTTAACTTTCTTCATCATCAAGAGATTACTGCTATCTTATAGGGGTTGATAGGAAATTACTCCAGTTCTGTGTTGTTACAAGAATTACGAATCCTAATATGATAAGTTTCACTGACATTTTTTATTGATATTCGTGTGCTCTTTTTAGGTTCTTCCCTTCAGAAAGCATCAAAAACTACCAATAGAATTAACAAGCCCGTTGCTGGATTGGCTCAGTCTCACCTGACATTTGTGAAACCACTGAAAACAGGTAAAGAGAATTCTGATATTCAGTAAATCCATTTCCACTGAACTGATTGCTCAATTACTGTTGCTGTTGCTTGTAGTTGAGACCTAACTGGGTAGAGTTGGGATGAAATAGAAGATTGTACGCACAATTAAATAACTAGTAGAAAATATTGTACCTTTCATGATGCATCTCATAGGAAACCTGTTGTAACACATGGCCCTTTCCTCCTGTTTTGAATACAAGAAGTAAATGTAAAAAGGTGCTTTATGGGTATGTTCCCTGCCAACTGGTGGTAATCAGTGAATTGCTTTTTCCACATCTGATAAAATTTTAATAGAACAGAATACCTAAGAAGAGAAATCTTCCCACGAACATGTATTGATTTAGCAAATCTGGTCTAATAAGTTGATCTGGGCAGAAAAAATGTATGTATAAAATGGTTGTTCCTGGAGGTAATACAACTCAACTGGATTTTGTCCTGAGATATGTGCCGAAAACGACCTGTGTTCCAGAAATCATGTCTTTGTCATAGTGGTCTGACTTTATCCATGTTTTGTGGCTGAAATTTATCTACTGGTGGCTGATTCACAAGTCACTGGAGATTCTGAAAACCTAGTTTTTTTCTGCTGTAGTGCTAGATGGAGTGTCAGACATTAATCTTTTCCACAACTTGCTTGTCATACATTTCAAGAACTGCTATTCTTTAAATACTGATTGAAGGAGAGACTTGACTTTTTGATTTTATTTATTTCTTTTAAGTCATTCCTAGGCACCCAATGCCTTTTGCTGCTCAAAACATGTTTTATGATGAACGTTGGAAGGAGAAGCAACAACGAGGTTTCACTTGGTGGTTAAATTTTGTGCTTACCCCTGATGACTTCAGTGTAAAAACAAACACCTCACAAGGTAAGTGCAGGATTTTCACTTTTAATACTCTCAAATGTTTTGTTCATATCAACGAATATCATAACACTAGTCTTACTTGTCATTTTACTTTGTATTACATTATCTCTTATATAAAGAGTAGATCTTGTTATTTCACAGTTCTTATATTTACCTGCATTTTAAACAGTAAATGCAGCTGCTCTTATCTTGGGAGAAGAGAACCGTCATAAAACCAGTGTTCCTAAAGCACCAACAAAAGAGGAAGCATCTCTAAAAGCATATACTGCTCGTCGTAGACTGAACAAGTTACGTCGGGATGCTTGTCGTCTGTTTACAACTGAAACAATGGTTAAAGCTATTAAGAAGCTGGAAGTTGAGATTGAAACTCGACGTTTGCTAGTTCGTCGAGACAGGCATCTTTGGAAAGATGTAGGTAAGAATACTATAAATTTTCCTACTCTCCTTTTTTGTGAGTAGGGAAATGATGGCTCATAATATTAGTTGATTTAAACTAAAAGCAATTGCTAGTACATTTTTCTATAATGTGAAGTATTTCCTGAATGTAATATCACAAAATGGTCTTTTGCAGGAGAGAGGCAGAAAGTCCTTAACTGGCTTTTATCTTACAATCCCTTGTGGCTGCGTATAGGTCTGGAGGTAAGTGTAGAACTTACGATCTGCAATAAAAATATTTAGAAAATCTAGCAAGCTTTCTAGAAGAGAATGTTTCAGGTTTCTCTTTTATTTTCTGTTTTATTAGTCCAAGTAGGTTTGATTAAGTTATAGCGTGTTTACTTTCCCTTTGCTTTATTATAACCAACTTGCATTAAAAGTTGTTTACTACAAAGGAAGATATTTAATCAAGGAAAGTTGAGCTAATTACAGAAGAGCAGGTTGCAGTTAGTTTCACTCCTCTGCGAGTTATAGGAAGATGAATCTTTCTTCAGGGAGCTCCTCATTGATTTCATTAAATGCAAATTATCAAACATGTTTTTATATAAGATAGAATGTTCTGAAATTTCCTTTGGTTTTAACTTTTACTCACTGTTAAAAAATGATTCTTAGAGACTAACTACCACTTGCTATTACAGAATTTCAGTACTATTTCCATATGATATTCACAAGAGCATATAGCGTTTAAAGTCATTTTTAACGGTTCTGGTTTTTTTCTTCTTTCCTTCATATTAGACTGTTTATGGGGAACTGATAACTTTGGAGAGCAATAGTGATTTTATGGGTTTGGCAGTATTTATTCTTCATCGCTTGCTTTGGAACCCTGACATTGCAGCTGAATATAGACATCCCACTGTGCCTCACCTTTACCGAGAAGGTAACTAGTATTTCCAAAAATAGACCATCTTAGCAATTAATTTTTGAACTGCCTCTTAATTGGTTCTATCATTTTAGGTCATGAAGAAGCCTTGTCGAAATTTACACTGAAAAAATTGCTGTTGTTAGTTTGCTTTCTGGATCGTGCTAAACAGTCCAGATTGATTGGCCATGACCCTTGCCTCTTTTGTAAGGATGCAGAATTCAAGGTAAGAGAGAGATGATTTGATGTCTCTGTCGAGCATTGTTCTACATATGAACATTCTGTGACTGAACGTATGTTTGTTTTTTCTTAACATCATGTATTTTTCTATAATGAGTCTTGGCTGTTCGTGCTTGTGCTTTTACCTGAACATTGTCAGTGCATGACCTCATGGTTACAAAAAAGATTTCCTAAGAACATTTTGTGTTGGTTCTTTAGGAAGGACTCTGTTATGTTGCATTACCTTGCTTCCCTTTCTAAAGCTAAGCTTTTGCACTGCTCTTAAGTATTGCTCTAGCGTACTGTACTGCAGCTGGTCTTAAACCAGTTTGTGGGTTTCCTGATTTTTCTTCTGTTATTTTGCTGTGATAAGGGAATATGCAACATCTGTCATATAGACAAATGTCTTTACTACGTTTAATTTCCTGTACTTTTGTAATGCGCAGACAAGCTGTGAAAGACATTTATCTTTTTAAATATTTGTATCTAACGTATATCTTATTTGTTTGTTTTAAGACAAGTAAAGACATCCTGCTGGCGATTTCTCGTGACTTCCTGAGTGGTGAAGGTGATCTTTCCCGCCATCTTGGTTTCTTGGGACTACCTGTCAGCCATATTCAAACTCCACTTGACGAATTTGATTTTGCTGTAACAAATCTGGCTGTGGACCTACAGTGTGGCATTCGTCTTGTGTACGTTGATACAGTGTTATTTTGAACCGTTCATTTTCCTTATAAAATACTTTATTTGAGCTAAGTTAAGGTATTAAACTGTGAAATTCCCTTTGTTAGGAGAACGATGGAACTTCTAACCAACGACTGGAATCTTTCAAAACAGCTGAGAGTTCCGGCAATTAGTCGTCTACAGAAGATGCATAATGTTGATATTGTTCTCGGTGTTCTTAAAAAGCGAGGAATTCACTTGAAAGATGAAAGTGGTAAGGCCTAGAAATCAGTTATTCTTAGCCCATTGCAGAACTAGTGCATGTTTTATTTCTTTGTTTTATTCAATAGGTGCTTCAATTGACTGTAGGGATATTGTGGACAGACACAGGGAACGAACATTAGCTCTGCTGTGGAAAATTGTCTTTGCTTTCCAGGTATTACTTCTTTGTGTTTGTGGGTTTTTTTACTAATTGCAGGTGAAAGGTAATGAAGATGTCAGTCCTTTAGCAACTATTTGTTGTCTGTGTAGGCAGATCGTAGAACTATTTACACTGTAAATTCTAAGTGTCATAGAAATGTTACCTAATAGCACTAACTGTATATTTTAGCATTTTTATGCATGCTTTTTTTCTTGTATAAAGTCATAAAAGTTTTTGGAGGAAAAAACCACACAGATACTTCTGAGCGTATGATGTTAGGCTGTCGGAATTGATAGTTAGACTAAAATAACTTTGGTTTCCAAAAGCTGGTAAGCGCTTATTAACTGGAAAGTGGAAGTGGAGAATCGAATTTTGAATTAGCTTCTGAGGTTAGTCTGACAGGCAGTATAGAGTATTTAATGAAGTTGTAAACATTCTTCACTACTGTCTTCTGCCTGCTTCATTGCCCAACTCGAGCACCCACTTTTGCTAAACTGCTCTGTAACCTTTTGCCATGAAAAGAGAGAGCGTGGGTTTAAGTTCTTTGCTTGAAGTAGTTGGTAGTGGATGTTGCCACCTATGTTGGCAAGTCCATATTAATCACTACTGACTTAGTGTGGCAGGTAGTGAGAGTAGTTTCTCTTTCTTTAAAAGGCAATACCTAAAACTTCTGCATCCAGCTGTTTTAATGATGACATAAATAAATTCTTTTTTTTTTTGTCTTCCATAATAGGTGGATATTCTTCTTAATGTGGAACAGTTAAAAGAAGAAATCAAATTTTTAAAGAATGCACATAAGATAAAAATGCAGCTGGGTGCTCTCAAGCTTTTTTCAAGTTGTTGCAGAATACAAGAAGATAACAGTAGTAGCCCCGCACCTCAAAGTCACGGTGAAAATGTGAAGCTGCTGATGGCATGGGTTAATGCTGTTTGTGGATTTTACAATATGAAGGTAAAATGCTTATTCTTTAGAGAGCAGAATTCTTTAAGCTATCAGATAATGTCGTTACAGGCAATACTAATTAGTTTTAAATATCCTTCTCAACTTTATATGATCTGATTGGAAATAACCATCTTTCTGTAGATTGACCTGCAGCTCTCCTTTTTAAAAAACACGAGCGAAAGCATATTGCCTCCTAGCTAGTCTCATGCATAAAAATGCCTTTTAGAAATATAACATTTAGTTGCAGTGGTTTTGTTTGTTGTTATCTTCTGTTGTTTTTTTTTTTTAAATGAGTATTCATTCTAAAAGTATTTGTGCATAAATTTTTTACTGTTCATAGTAACTGTGAGAATTAAACTAATGTTTAGGCCAAGAAGGATTCTTCTCTTCGGAGATGTCTGTTTAGAAGGACTATGTTACCAGTTGTTCTCTCTGAGAAGCCCTGTTAAGACGTTTGTCTTCAGTCAGAATGCTGTCACAGCTGATAATCTTTCTGAAGGGCAAATTATAGTCTTTGAAGCTCATGCAAGTTCATACCTGATTTCTGCACTGAAGACCTACATGAGAGCAATCTGGAGAAATTTCCAGAGATCCTTCTGTAGAAACAGTGCTTTCTTTTTCAAGCGTTTCCCTTGAAGTTTCACTGTACAGTAATTTACACTTGTTGCAGGTTTCTTACAGCTATATGACAATGCGTAGTGAATGTTCAAAGGGAGCAATAGTTTCTGTTCAAAATAAGCGATCAGAATTCATGTCTGATCTAGTGCCTGATGTACTGCTTGGCGACCCTGCCCACAGCAAGGTGTTGGAACTAGATGATCTTTATGGTCCTTCTAATCTAGGCCATTCTATGATTGATTACTTTGAAAAGTACAAGATATAAACTGGGTATAGGATTTTCTATCTATTAAATAGTATTGAAAAATCAAGGAAACTGTATCTTACTGTATTTTATTAAACAGGTGGAAAATTTCACAGTCTGTTTCTCAGATGGAAGAGTACTGTGTCATTTAATTCATCATTACCACCCGTGTTATGTGCCTTTGGAAGCTGTGTGCCAGCGTACAACTCAAACAGTAGAGTGCTCAAGAACTCATAAGGTGGGACTAAATTGTTCCTCCTCATCCTCTTCGGAGTCTGATACTTCTCTAAATGTTACGGAAGGACCATTTGACCAAGGTAAGTTACTTAATGTTCAGAAGCACTTGTTAAAATCCATTACTCTTATGCTCGATCTAATTTGACAATTTTTTTCTCTTTGCAAAGCTGTAACTGCTTCAGTCTTGTACAAGGAACTGTTAGAAAATGAAAAGAAGAACTTCCAGCTAATCAATAATGCAGTTTCTGACCTAGGTGGAATACCAGCAATGATTCATCACTCAGACATGTCAAATACAATTCCTGATGAGAAGGTGAGATAGCTGTCTTTAGTTAAAGTTGATGTAAATGTACCCAGCTCTCTTATGTGGTCCTTAACTTGGCTATATTCTGTGTTTAAATAGGTTGTTATTACCTACCTATCGTTTCTGTGCTCACGGCTTCTAGATCTACGGCAGGAAACTCGAGCCGCTCGTTTAATTCAGTCTGCTTGGAGGAAATTCAGGCTGAAAAGGGAACTGAAACTTTCTCAGGTACTCTATCTGCGCAATGCTTGGAACTCCTACTTTGAGAAATATACAAAGTAAAGAATATAAATTCACTGTTTATAGAGTACACAGGTTTATTAGAATAATATTGGTATTAAAATTCATACAAGTAATATTATTATCAAATTATATGATCTTCTTGGTAGCATAATCTATTAAAAATTAGTTGAAAACCATTCTAAAGTAGTTACATGTTTTGCAAAGTGATTAATGTCCTTCAGGAACTATTTTGTGTTCTAACAGAAATGTAGTACCCCTTAAATCCTTTTCCCAAGTCAGGTGTGAAGTTGCAGCACTGCTTCCTTGAGCTGAAAAGAGCTGTTCCTTTTGAATTCCTAGGAATTTAAAAAATAAAATTGTTATTTTATTTAGTTACGTTTTATGGCTTGTAAAATTAAACTTTCACTTGGATTTACTATTTCTGTGTAGGTGCTAAACTGCTAGACTTCCCCTAGTGTTCTGAGTCAAGTTGTGTACTGTTTTGTTTCTTGCTTTTCTAGTAGTTATGCCAGAACTTGTGATGATCGTGAAACTATTGATACCATTAAGGTTGATAAACACCTTAAATGCATCTGAGATTGATACTAGGAAATTGAGCAGTGTCCAAGTGAAATAGTTTAAGAATCTGTGGCATATGATGGGGAAATTTCATCTCCAGCTTCTTTACCTTATTAAAACAATACTGTCTTGATGCTCAGATAGAAGTGTTTCCTTTATAAATAACTTTTAAAATACTTTTTAGCAAAGCTGATTGTGGGCGGGTGGTGTCAAAAACAAAACCCACAGGCACTGCAGATGTTATTTTGAATTTAATATTGCAATATCAGCAACTCTGCTCTGTTGTATTGCACTATGGATAGACTACTAGTTAGGATTCTGACTATATGAGCTTTTTACTTAGGTATTACATCGACAAGTTCCTTTTCTTGTTGCCCTGGTGTATATAAGTCTGTTACTACTGTCACTGGTACTGTAAAAAACACTGCTTGATGTATGCAGACAAAACTCTGGCTAGATGGACGTGATCTGGTGTGGCTGATTTTGTAATTTTATGCTATTTCAGTATAGCTGGATACCATCATTATGAACATCTTGAACTCTTGTGAATGAGAACTAAAATTGAGGCTTAAAAACAGATTACTTGAGGAGCACTAAAAACTGTAACAGACGCGATGTACTGTCAAAGCAGAAAGATACTTTTACAAAAAACTCAGAATGCTGAAGTAAGCATTCTGTCTCAGAAAATTTTTTTAAATAGGGTAAAGAAAAGCAATGATACTGACAAGCCTAATTTTTATAAGATAGTTTTTTAATGCATCCAAAATAAGAAGAGAACTCTCAATTCTGACTGTTCAGTTCAAATTCATTCTTTGTAGGAAAGAGACAGAGCTGCTCGGATAATTCAAAAATATGCAATAAACTTCTTGTCTCATCGACGCCTCGTGAAGAAACACAACGCAGCAGTCATTATCCAGAAGCACTGGAGAAGACATTTAGCTAGGATGATTTTTTTAAATCTAAAAAAGAAAACATGGGAAGAAGCCAGAAGTAAATCTGCCACAGTAATTCAGGTAATTTGTTTTAAAGTGAGATTACGCAGCAGCAAGGAAACCCTCTGAAACTTGGAAGAAACGGTATTGCTCAGCATCATTTGTTCTGCTTCCAGCAACAGATATCTATTCAGAGAGAAATGGTAATATGGTTTTAAATCTGTCGTCGTTCCTTCTTAGTAAATGTTTTGTACCGGTATGCCACAGATAAGCCCACCAGCCAATCAGGACCAATCAGATAATTCTGCTCTGCTTTTCTGCAGCTATTGAAGCTAGAGGTGGTTTGTCTCCTAATGTTATGACACTTGCAGTTGGCACTTTAAGAATAGTGGAAATTAGTTACCAGTTCATAGCTAGTAATTAGGTAGTTAATTCTTAGGATATTTTCCCCACTGTTAACCGAAGCATTCTTATGATTCTTTGTAATGGATGCTAAAGAATCACTGATTTATCACGTATTTTAACAGGTAATCTTCTGTTGACAGGGCAATTTTGTTACTTTTTTTTTTTTTCCACCACAATATAAAGTGCTTAAAATAGCAAAGATGGAATTAATTAGTTGATTAAAATTGTTTGTTTTTAATATACATATCTGGGCATTAGGGAATCATAGGGGTAGGAAATGACCTCTGGAGATTCCCCAGTCTGATCCTGCAGTACAATTGCCGTGCTAAGATATGTTCCCTGGAGCAGATTGCACAGAAAAGCATCTGAGTGGATTTTGAATATCTCCATAGAGGGGAAACTCCACAATATCTCTGGGCAGTTTGCTCCAGTGCTCTGCGGGTTAAGTAGGAATACAGAAACTTTAAAACATCTGAGGTCAAAAGTCATCAAATTAGGCTTAAGTCAAGCTAATTTATTATACTGATATAACTAAGAATGTGCTCAATTTTCTATTTTTCCCTATAGGCTTATTGGAGGAGATACTCTGCAAGGAAAAGTTATTTACAGCTAAGATACTATGTTATTTTTGTACAAGCAAGGATAAGGATGTTGTTATCTGTTGCTGCATATAAACGAATTCTTTGGGCTACTGTTACAATTCAGAATCACCTGCGTGCATCCAAACTGGCAAAGGAGCATCGGCAAAGATACAAAATCTTAAGGTCTTCAGCACTTACTATACAGTCTGCTTTCAGAAAATGGAGAAAACACAAAATTCAAGAGAAAATTAGAGCTGCTTTAGTGCTCCAGAGATACTTCAGAAAATGGCAATCTTCAAAACTGGCTAAAAGAAAGAGAGCTGCCCTTGTCATTCAGTCTTGGTATAGGATGCACAGAGATATGAAACAGTACCTATGTATTAAGCGAAGCATTATCAAGATTCAGGCTTGGTACAGGTGTCAGAGAGCTAGACGTATTTACCAGGAATACAGGGCACAAATAGTGATCATTCAGCAGTATTATAGAGCTTATAAGTTAGGAAAAAGTGAGAGAGAGAACTATTTGCAAAAGCGTGCAGCGGTAGTAGTTCTCCAAGCTGCTTTTAGAGGCAAGAAAGCACGTATACTATACAGGCAAACCAAAGCAGCTTGTGTTGTTCAATCACTGTGGAGAATGAGACAAGCAAAACTAAGATTTCTACTATTAAAAAAATCTGTTACCTTATTGCAATCCCATGTGAGAAAATACCAACAGGTAAAAAGATACAAAGAGATGAAAAATGCTGCTTCTGTAATTCAAGCTTGGTATAGGGCACGTGTCACTTCTAAAAAAGCAGCCTTTTCTTTCCAGAGGATGCGTCTGGCTGCCATTGTCCTTCAGTCTGCCTACAGAGGAAGGAAAGCTAGGAAAGAAGCTCACATATTGAGATCTGTGGTAAAAATTCAGTCAAGTTTCCGTGCTTATGTCATCCGAAAGAGATTTAAAGACTTGAGAAATGCAACAGTGAAAATTCAAGCTTGTGTAAAGATGAGACAAGCTCGTAGGTATTACTGTGCCTTAAGGGAAGCAACGCTTTATGTCCAGCAAAAGTATCGGTCTCGTAGATACGCTCTTCAACTTAAAGAAGATTATAGGAAATTGAAGGAAGCCTGCATAAGAATTCAAGCTGCAGTTCGAGGCTATCTTGTCAGGAAGCAAATAAAAAGGTGGAGGGAGACTGCAATATTTCTCCAGGCACAGTACAGAATGAAGAGGACCAGGGCACATTATTTAATTATGTACAGTGCTGCTGTTGTCATTCAAAAACACTATCGTGCACACCACAAGCAACTCTGTCAGAGACAGGAGTTCCTGCAAGCTAAAAAAGCAGCAGTGTGCATACAGGCAGCCTACAGGGGTTATAAGGCACGCAAAAAGCTTAAGCTTGAACACAGAGCTGCTGTCAAAATTCAGACGGCTTTTAGAGCTCATGCTACAAGAAAAAAATATCAGGCAATGATTCAAGCTTCTGTTGTGATTCAGAGATGGTACAGAACTTGCAAGACCAGTAACAGGCAAAGACTGACCTTCCTAAAGACAAGAGCAGCTGTGCTTACTTTACAAGCAGCTTTTCGCGGTTACCAGGTTCGAAAGCAAATTCGAAGACAGTGTGCTGCTGCAACTGCAATACAATCTGCCTTCAGAAAATTCATGGCTCTGAAAACATTCAGACTTATGAACCGTGCTGCGCTCACTATCCAAAGGTGTTACAGAGCCAGCGTCATAAGCCGAAAACAACGTCAGGAGTACGTTGAGCTGCGGAACTGTGTAGTACGTCTTCAGGCGATATGGAGGGGAAGAGCAGCGAGAAAAAAGATTCAAAAGGGGCACAGTCTTGCAACAATTATTCAGTCCTATTACAGAATGCACGTCAATCGATTAAAATTTAAAAAACTAAGGCAATCTACTCTGGTGATTCAGAGATACTTTAGAGCTTACTGTATGAAAAAAAAACAGCGTGCACTTTATCTAAAGACAAAGGTGGCTGTGCTAGTCTTGCAGTCTGCGTACCGTGGAATGACTGTGAGGAAACAACTGAGGGAATTAAGCGAAGCTGCGACGACCATACAAGCAGCCTTCAAATCGTACCTGGTAAAAAAGGACTATGTAAGACTTAGATCTGCAGCAGTAGTAATTCAGAGGCACTATCGTGCAGTTATTCACACTAAATGGCAAAGGCAAAAGTACTTATCTTTAAAAACTTCTGCAATCAAAATGCAAGCAATTTACAGAGGCCTAAAAGTCAGACGACAGATTCATTCTATGCATCAAGCAGCTATTCGTATTCAAGCCATGTTTAAGATGCATCGCTTAAGTATTAGATACCAGGCAATTAGAATGGCAGCGGTTATAATTCAAAGACAGTATAGAGCATTTTGTTTAGGCAGAGTACAACGTAAGAAGTACTTGGAGCTCAAGAAATCTTCCATTGTCCTTCAGGCTGCCTTTAGAGGCATGAAAGTTCGACAAGACTTAAAAATGATGCATCAGTCAGCAGCACTGATACAGTCTTATTATCGAGTGCGCAAACAACAGAGGGATTTCAGAAACTTGTTGCTGGCAACCAGGCAGATTCAGCGGTGGTATCGTGCTTGTAAGGAGCGAAATAGGCAAGTTCACAACTATCTGACTGTGAGAAGTGCTACACTTTGTCTCCAGGCTGCATTTCGTGGCATGAAAACAAGACGACTTTTAAGAACTATGAATCAATCTGCTGAGCTTATTCAAAGAAGATTCAGAACTTTTCTCCAAAGAAAACGTTTTATTTCCCTTAGAACAGCCGCTGTTGTAATTCAGAGAAAATATCGAGCAACAAAACTAGCAAAAATTCAACGTCAGCGATATCTCTCGTTGTTTAACGCTGCTGTTATCATCCAGTCAGCCTATAGAGGCTTTTTGGCAAGGAAGAAAATGAGGCAGATGCATCAAGCTGCTACAGTCATCCAAGCAATGGTAAGAATGCGAAAAATTTACATTTCTTACCAAGTTCTCAGACTCGCTTCAGTAATCATACAGCAACGTTATCGTGCTTACAGGGAAGGCAAGCGTGTCAGAGAAATGTACTTAAAAACGTACAAATCTGTTTTAGTTCTTCAGGCTGCCTACAGAGGAATGAAAACAAGATGCTTCTTGAAGAAAAGGCATGAGGCAGCGCTTATAATACAGAGAAACTACAGAATGTACAGGCAGTACCACCGCTACAGACGAGTTCAGTGGGCAGCCCAGCTAATACAGAGGAAATTCAGAGCGAATAGCCTAAGGAATCTTGCAGTACAGCGTTACTCCTCATTTAAGAAAGCAGCAATTTGTATTCAGAGGGCTTTTCGGGACATGCGCTTGAAAAAACAACATCAAGAAATGCACCGTGCCGCTACTGTGGTTCAGAAAAATTATAAAGCTTTTCGAGAACATCAGAGATATCTCTCCCTTAAAGCAGCTGCTCTTGTCTTTCAGAGAAGATACAGAGCTTTGATTCTGTCTAGGCAGCATACTCAGGAGTATCTTAATCTCCGCAGAGCAACTATTCGTCTACAGGCTGTGTACAGAGGAATCAGAGTGCGCAAGAGCATTGAGCGCATGCATTTAGCTGCTCGTACGATACAATCAGCCTATAAAATGCACAGAAATAGAAGCGCATATCAAAAGATGAGAACTGCAGCTATTGCTATACAGAACTACTACCGTTCCTACGTTAGAACAAAGAATCAACAAAAGAAATATCTGACGATTAAGAAATCTGTTCTTCTTATTCAGGCATCTTACAGAGGCATGAAGGAACGACGGAAGCTGAAAATGATGCATGCTTCAGCAATCGTAATACAGTCTAGTTATCGGATGTACATACAGCATAAATATTATAAACAGTTGTGCTGGGCCGTCAGAGTTATACAGCAAAGGTTCAGAGCCAAAATAGCAAAAGAAGCTGACATGGAAAACTATGCAAAAATAAGGAAGGCCATCGTTTGCCTTCAGTCTTCTTTTCGTGCTGGAAAGGCAAGGCAGTTGCATAAAACCAATGCTGCTGCGCTATTCATCCAATCATTCTTACGAATGCGTGTGGAAAGGAAGCGTTTTGTTGTGAAAAAAGCAGCAGCAATAACGATCCAGTCAGCGTTTCGACGCCAGAGAGCAAGGGCCCGCTATAAATCTGTTCAGAATTCAATAGTTGCTATTCAGAGGTGGTATAGAGCGTGTCACAGTGCTCGTTTACAGAAAGCAGAGTATTCTCTTCAAAGGCAAGCGATAATAATTATTCAGTCTGCCTACCGTGGTATGAAAGCAAGAAAACTAGCGAGACAGATACGTGCCACAAGGAAGATTCAGTCTTTCCTTCGGATGGCTGTGCAACGTAGAAAATTTATTCAACTTAAAAGAGCGGCTATTACATTACAGGCCTGTTTCTTAATGCACAAAGCTAAATCACAGTATGCCAGCTATAAAAAAGCAGCTGTTGTCTTACAGCGATGGTACCGATCCCACTTGATTGTAAAACACCAAAGAATGACCTACTTGCAAACCCAGAAAAAAATTATCCTTGTGCAGGCTGTAGTCAGAAGATTCATTGTGAAGAAGAGGTTCCAGAAAATTAAAGAAAGCGCAATAAAAATTCAGGTACTTATACATGTATGATATTGTTTGTTCTTCTCTGTTTACTTATTTGTTTTGGAGAACTGCTACTATTTCAAACAGTGGTTTAAAACCATATATCTTACAACGTAATCTTGTTCTGCAGTATATTAAGTGTGTAAAGGTAACCTCAGCGGGGCACAGAAATGAATCTGACTCCGTTTTGTCTTTCCTTGCTGAGGCATTCATCTTAAAAGTTGTATTCCTTTTTTTTTCTCATCTTTCTCCTAAAATTTTTCTGTTTAAAATTTGATCTCTGATATTTGTGTGTGTTTCCATTGTTCTTTCAAGAACATTTTTGTCGTAACTGGCTTTCACCTGCTTAAATATTAATTGCTTAATGAATATTTTCTTTGGAATGCAAATGAAAGCTGTTTAGATGTGTTGAAATAAGTGAGCTCGAGTACTAGATATAAGGTGAAGTAAAGGCAGGAGGGCTGTGACTTGTGTAAGACTTTGATTTACTCGTGCCTTCCTAAATACTCCACATTAAGATTTGGGGTGTTTGCTTTTTTTGTTTAGACCTGTTGAATGGCTCCAGACTAATTTTGCTGCCTAGATAAAATATTTTGAATAGGAATGTGAGGAGATACATTTCATTCTTTTTGTATGCCTCAGCTGGTACATTGGGTGTGAAACTGTAGTCTGTGATGTCTCAGACGTGCTCTAGGAAGGCGAAGTTTTGACTCTTTTTCCTTCCATCTTTGACTGGATAAAATATCAGCAGGGTTGGCAAGAAATAATCGAGAGTTAGAATTGCTCTCCGTCTCTGACATGTTTTTTTGTTTGTTTTGTTTTTGAGGGTAAAGGAGGGAAAGTTTCTCCCTGTTATTTATATTGATTACAGTTTGTATGTATACTGAGAGCGCTGTCTTTCCTTCTGAGAAAAGCTTTACGTGACTTCTTGTGGAGTTCTTAGTTATTTTACCCTAAGGGAAAAAGAAAGGAGTCTCTCTTCAGGGTATTACTGAAATGAAAGGAGTTTCAGTTTAGAAAGGAAAAGGAAATAATCTCTCATAATTCCTCACTACTGTTTGCAGACTAGAAAACAACTGTGCCTTCCTTGCCTCCCTTTTTGAGGAGAGGGTGCAAGTTGGCGGCTTTTTAGTAATTATCTGAATATTTAGCTTTGTGTGTCCTAAACAAGGTGAGTGTGATGATTTTGCTTTAAAAGTAGAAATAAGAATTAACAATGGGAATCGGAGCTGTTTTAAAATTAATTGTATTGTTAATTTTAAAAACAGGTTAGTGACTATAGCAATACTTAAAAATACGCTGTCATGTTCCCTGTCAGTACTGTGCAAGTGGGGAAATGGTCTGAAATTTGTCTTTACCTTTCAAGGCACTTGTTCGTGGATTTACTCAGAGACAACAATACCTTCGGTGCAAGTTTGCTGCTTTAGTAATACAGCAACACTACAGAGCGTATCAGATGCGAAATGTTGAACAGCAAAGATTCAACCAAAAGAAAAGAGCTGTTATCAAAATCCAGGTAATGCAGGAAGGTATTTTGGTTTTTGGAGGAGGAGGAGTTAGTTTTGTTTCTGGTTGTTTTTTTTTTCCCCTCATGTTCCTTGTACTTATTTTTTTATGACATAATTATTTTTACAGGTGTGAGTGGCATTCGTAGTATTTCTCTAGCTGCTTTTTCTATTTGTAGCAAACAATTTCCAGATATGAGGAACTCATAGATACTTATAATATTGTACAGATAGGAATCCTAAGCACCTTGCGTGCCAAAGGGACTTTGTCTTTTAAATTGGTTTACTCCACTATAAAGAAAAAGAGGTGACATTTTTGTTTTTGTTTTTTACATTTATAGGCCTCATATAGAGGATTTAAAGCCAGGCAGTTGGCTAACAAAGTGAGAGCAGCACAAGTAATTCAAGCCTGGTTTCGAGGCTGGAAAGCAAGAAAGGAATATGCATCTATGGTAGAAGCTGTGCGCATTATTAAGAGTCACTTCAGAACAAAACGTCAGAGGACCTGGTAACGCTCAATTTGACATAGTTTTCTCTACTGCTGACAACTTTTGTTATCTCATTACTTTGCACTGCTTTGCACTCTGGCAAACACCTATAAATTCTCAGACTTTGTCCCTCAAGTGTGTTTATAATATGCTTGAATGTAATCGTGTTGATGTTAGTGGAATTATTCCTTTGCAGAGGATTTTTCTTATGTTTGAATATTTTTCTGGACTAGAAGCTACTGCGTAATCTCAAAAGTTATGAATTAGGGATGCGTGTTGAAATAGTTAAACTAGTGTTCGTCTATGTTATGGGAATGGTTTGACAAGAAATGCTCCTCTATATCAGACTGTTGTTTGATCCCATTCAGATCTGGGTCCTGTCAGAAACAGTAAAAAATGCTGTTTGAGGAGAGTATGTGAACCTGAGCAGTTACTGAGATCCTCCCTCAGCATCGGTGTTCACTAGATTATGAATGTTAAAGCTTATATCCTTGCTCATTCTCTTTATTATCCTTCTTCTGACATATTGAGTGTCAACTTGCCTTTTTAAACCTACTGCTGCCTCCACAACCTCATTTTGCAGCAAGTTCTCGGAGTGCCTACTGTGGGAAAACAGAACCTATCTATTCTAAACCAGTTGTTTTTGCATTGCAGGATTAGGTTGAAAACAGCTTTGCTTTCAGCATATCTATCTAAATGATTTTGTAAACCTGCTCTAGGCCTCTCTCTTATCTGAAGCACCCAGTTCTTCTAAGTTTTACTGTCTAATTCTGTCACTGTATCTTCTCTGTTTTAGTCATTCTTCCCTGACTTTGCTGTATCCTATCTGAGATGTAGAGATCAGAACCGCGTATTGTCCTTATGATTATTTTAAATAGCAGCAAAATTATGTCCTCTGAATTGTTCGTGGTGTTCTTCATCATGATGCCTTGACAGGTTTTTGGCTTCCATTGTGTGTTGGACATAAAATAAAAAGATTTAACCTGATGAAGGAAAGTTTTTTTTCTCTTCTATGTTTCTATGTTTTCTAAGACCATTCTTATTATTTGAGTGATTGCTGTTTAGCTGTTGGATTTTTTAATATATACATGTTCTTTGGATATAATATCTTATGTAAGCTGTCTCTTCCATTGCCTTGCTTCCTGTATCCAGAAACTTCATGTTCCACTTAAACTTAAAAATGTAAGCATTCTCAACTTTTAGAAAAACCTAAAATGCATTTTCTTGTCAGGTTTTTGAAAATGAAGTTCAGTGCACTTACTATTCAGAGAAGATGGAGAGCAACCCTTGCTGCAAGAACTGTTCGGCTTCAGTTTCTGGCAACCAAGAATGCAGTAGTCAAGATTCAGTCGGCATACAAACAGTACAGGGCTAGAAGACTTTTAAGAAAGGTATGTTTTCACTTGCACTCTATGTCAAGCTGTGTTAAGTTTGCATTGCTTTTGAGTGAGTTTTGTCATCAATAGGTTGATGTTTTTGAGCCATTCCAGTTATTGAATTGCCCATTTATGCCAAAAAGATGAAACATATAAATGATCTATTGGCTTTCTTGCTTACGAAGGATTAAGTTATACCAATTGTTTGACCCCAGTTAGGCAAGGCTAAAAACAGTCCAAATTGTGAAAGTGGATTTTTATGTAAAGTAGTGCAATATTTGTTTGCTTGTACTTCCTATTTTATTTGTTTACTTATAAGTTTCATGTCTAGTAAAAAATTTCCATCGTAAGATAAAACTAAGACATATATGGATTGCAACAGGAATGAACCCCACTTCAATTATCAGTGAAATCTAAAATCTTATTTAGAAGCACGAAGCTGCACGTTTGATCCAAACAACATATAGATGTTTTAAGGAGAGAAGGAAACTTGATCGACAAAAAGCTGCCGCTGTGACTATCCAAAAACATCTGAGGGCTTGGCAAGAGGGCAGACTTCAATTTATGAAATATAACAAAATCAGAAGAGCTGTCATTAAACTGTAAGCATTTATACGGGGTTATTTAGTCAGAAAAAAGTTTAGTATACTTCACTTTAAAACTATGCTTGATGTAAAGTATCTCCAGAGCAATTTTGGCATTAATTTTGGCTGGCAGGAAAAGAGCTCTGATCATTAAACTCTGACTCCTGTTAACTGCTTTGAGAATTATGTGGGTCAAGGGTCAGATTGTTGTTGCCTACAATGAAACTGTTCTGGCAGTCACTTTGCTGTGCCTTTGTTCGGATTAGAGACCTAGCACTGAGGAAAGGTAGCGCGTACTTAGTTCTGAGGTATTGACTTCGGAGGTCATTGAATACGTTGCTGTGTGCTATGTTCTTTGCATAAATCAGCTGTCTCTGAGTATGAAAATTAATGATAGTCTTTCATCTGTTTTCTTCCAACAGTTTTTGGAACAGAAGCAAAAGAAGAGACTACTTTATTTTATAGCAGCTGCATATCATCATGTTTCCGCGATTAAAATTCAAAGGGCTTATAGGATGCATCTTGCCTATAAGCTAGCAGAAAACCACATCTCATCAGTTCTTATCATACAGGTTAGTATAATTAATTTATCTAGTTATGGATGAATAGTTTTGTGTAACGTAGTCTCCTGAGCTGCAGCACTGAGACACTGTCGTTCCTTAATTTGTAATAATAAAGCTAATATAGAGATCACGGTTTATTAAAAAATGCTGCTTATACTCAGCTAAGCATAATAGAGTGGGTGTTAGCAGACAGCGGAGGCTTCAGCAGCTCAAAGCTGAGGGTGGATGGGAAAGTTTGTTTTCTTTTGTGCCCCAGTCTTGCTAAAATAATCTAAGTGCTGTCTTAGCGTAGCGGAAGTAGGAAAGATCAGACACAACCACCTGTAATACTCGTGAAGTGCGTCTACTTAAAGAAACAGCCCTTGGGATGGATTTTCAGGACCGTAGCGTGGTTGAAATTACAAGGGACCTCCAGAGGTCAGCTCGTCCAACTCTACCTAGTAGGTCCATCCAGGAGTGTATCTAGTTGGCTTTTGATGATCTCCAAGGAGGGAGATCTACAACCTCTTTGGGCAGCCTGTTCCAACGAGTAGTCACCTGCACGGTAGTGTTTCACGATATTCAGTGTGACCATTTTTTGTTCCAGTTTTTGCTCGTTTTCTCTTGTCCTGTAACTGGGCAGCACAGAAAAGAGCCTGGCTCAGTCCGCTTTGCGCCCTACCTTCAGCTTTATGTTGACATTGTTAAGATCTCCCCTGAGCATCCACTTTTCTTAGGCTGAACAGTCCCAGCTCTCTAAGCTTCCTCTCATAGGAGATGTGCTCCAGTTCCTCGATCATCTTGGTGGCCCTATGGTGGCTATGACTGGGTCTCTCTGTTGCTGGGGGGTGCGGAACTGGACACAGAACTCCAGATGTGGGCTGGACAACACTGAGCAGAGAGGAAGGATCCTCCTACTGGTGACACTTTGCCTAACGCAGCCAGCAGTGCTGTTAGCTTTCTTAGCAATGAGAGCACGTTGCTGAATGATGTTCAGCTAGGTGTCCTGTAGGACTCCTAGGTCCTTTTCTGCAAAGCTGCTTTGCACTTGAGTGGCTCCCAGCATATACTGCTGCCTGGAGTCACTCCTCCCCAAGTCCAGGACGTTGCACTTCTCCTCACTGCACTCCTCATGAGGTTCCTGTAAACCCACATCCCCAGCCTGTTCAGGTTTATTTGACTGCCAGCATGGCCCTCTGGTGAATTAACCGCTCCCAGTCTGTTTTGTGTCAGCTCTGGTCATTCGGTCAGATTTTTCTGACTTGTCAGTAGCAACTAAACATGCGTAAGTTGCAACATCTGTAATATAAGCAAGTTTAGCTTTTCTAAAAAGCAGTGTTAAAAATCAGGTCTGTAGTGCAGCCTAGTAAAATAATGGCCACCTAGTAAAAATACATTCGAGATTTCAAATCGGTCACTTAGTTCCACTGATAGAAGGAGTTCAGGCTTAAATAAATGGAGAATCTGGAACATGATACCTGAAATGGCTATTATTTAGTCACGGATATTTTATTTTCCCCAAAAGGCAGTAGTGAATGTTCAGAAGAGTCATTTTCTCAGATTTGGCATACTGTTCCCTATTTCTCTTCTGTATAAAAAGAGGAGAAGAAACAGAGCTGGGAAATAGGAAGTAGAGTGATGCTTTTTTCTGAAAACCAGCTGAGAGAAAATGGAACGCTTCCCTAACTGCTCCTAATTCAGATTTCCTTTTTGCAATCACACATTTCTGCATCCACTAGGTCAGTCACAGCTGAGATGTGGTGTGAATATTAGGGATTTCTAGAGCCTGTATCTGTCAAATGTTACGTTAAAATAGCTTTTCTCTTTTTATCAGTGCCTGTTTTGGAAGAGAAATGGGGGTTTAGGGAGAGGTCTTAACTAAATATGAAGCTATCTTAATTTTAAACAGAAATGGTTCCGAGCAAAAATGCAACAGAAAAGATCTCAAAGAGATTTGCAAAGAATCATTCGATGTCAACGTATGATCCGAGGCTGGCTAAATCGCAGAAATGACGCGGCAACCGTAATCCAGCGACGTGTACGGAGATTTCTTGCCTGCAGGCGTAAGAGAAAAATCGCAGTTGGAATAATTAAATTCCAGGTGAACACCTCTTGCAAAAAAACATTTCTCTTTTGGTTGTTGTTTTTTTGTTGTTGTTGTTTTCTCAGAAAAGTTTGCTTTGGTTTGTGAATTTGTCAGTTAAACTACAAGCCATATCAGTTTCAATTCAATTAAATACAAGCAGACCATGAAGTAATACTAAGCAGGTACCGTAGGCAGGTAACTTAAGAGACAGTGTTTTTTGGAGGGTATATACACACATGCGGGTATGCTTTGGTCTTCCATCTTGCAGATCTAGTGTTTGGAAGACTAAACACTGAATGTGATTATTAGGCAATCATCTAAAAATGAAGAACCAAAGTATTTAAATACTTGATTAGACTTACGTCACATTGATTTGGAACGCTTGTAGAAGTTCTATTATCTGTTCTACTTACTTACAATTTTTTTTTTGTCTTTGTGAAATTGCTTTTCTGTAGGCATTGTGGAGAGGATATTCCTGGAGAAAGAATAATGACACAGCAAAAACTAAAGCTTTAAGGCTCAGCTTGGAAAAGGCTAACAGAAAGTGCAAAGAAGAAAACAAATTGTGCAACAGAACCTCAATTGCTATTGGATATCTTCTAAAATACAAACATATTTCTTACATTCTTGCAGCATTAAAGCATTTAGGTCAGTATTTCACTTCATTACAGAATCATAGAGTGGTTTGGGTTGCAAATGAACTTTAAAGTTTCAATCCCACTGCCGTGGGTCGGGGTCATCTTCCACTAGATTAGGTGGCTCGCAGTCCCATCTAATCTGAGTTTGAACACTTCTGGCGAGCCACATCTCTGGGTAACCTGTTCCATGGCCTCACAGTAAAGATTTTCTTCCTTATTTCTAATCCAAACCTATTTACTTTTAGTTTGAAACTGTTATTTTCTTGTCCTATCACTACAGCCTGTGGTGTAACCAATAGATTTCCAGGATGACAGTTAGGAATTTTCCTGCTGGGAGAAGTTTATAATGACGTTTATTCTTTCTGTATGATTTTGGAAAGCGAGTGAGTTGTATGTGATAAAATAGATACGATTTGTTTTTCAAGACTGAAATTAGATAACTGTGTTATGAGCAATATTAAAAGGCTTTTGTAGAGAAAGGAAATCCTGTGCGATCGCTCTGATTTACAGGCGGTCTTTGTAACGTGTTACGTTAAAGTCAGCTGAATTTACTGTCAGTAAATGTTCTGTTTGGATTGTTTTGTGTGCTTAAATTTTAGTCTGGAATACTAAACTGTTCTTTTGGAAATACTTGCTTCAATCAAAATTGTGGTTTTGACTTCTTTGCAAGTTTGATTTAAACGTGAAAGAAAGTCCAGTTACTTTGAAAACGAATTGCGTGCGCTTCAGAATCTTTTGCAATTTATTTGTCTTTGTTACAGAGGTGGTCACCAGGCTCTCCCCTCTCTGTTGTGAAAATATGGCCCAGAGCAGAGCGATCTTCACTATTTTTGTTCTGATTCGAAGCTGCAACCGGAGTGTTCCATGTATGGATGTGATCAGATATTCAGTTCAAGTTCTACTTAATGTTTCAAAGGTAATTTTTTTTTTCTTTAGCAGGTTTATAAGCAGTAGCCTACTTTATTGCAGTTTTTACTTATCTGCAAAATTTCTGGATGAATTTAAAATAAAATTTATAATTTTGAAGAACAAAACAATTTCTGACTTTTAATTATTTACTTGTGAAAATTGAATCGATTACATCTGGTAAAAGAAAACATTTTCATGGGCAGAAAGTAATGAAATTTACTTTTAAGAGATTACATTGCAGGATATCCCAAGTATGGCACGAATCTATGGAAATGTGTAAAATTTTGTACAAACGGGATAGGATTTGTATACAATTTGCATGAACGGTGTAATTTTTAAAGAAAAAAGTATATGTTGCTGAAGGTACACTACCTTTTCATATCCATATCATAGACAAGATAATTTACACAACTGATTATTTTCATAAATAATTAAAGCTGGAGTAGTTTCAATTTTGAAATTAAAAATCAACTTGTCAAACGCAGGTTTTCAATCTTATATCCATCCTACAGACATTTATGTTCAAATTCTTTTTTTCTTGTTTTAGGAAAGAATAGAATATTGCAGCTAAACTTATTCCTAAATCATTCTATACCCACTCTAATTTATTGTTAATATTATGTAAAACGTAGAATCCATTTCTGGGGATTTTCATTTAAGGGGCTGGAAAGCAAAAAGCGTAGCTTTTTGTGACCTGTTAGAATAGCGTAACATGCAAAAGTGATTTTTGTCACTTAGATGCCAGACAAGCCACAGACTTAATCAAGGGAAGAATATGGATTTTGCTTTTTTCCTCTAGTTGGGAAATTACTTGGAGGATCGGTTTATATAAGACCTCTTATTTCTTTCTGATATAACAGTATGAAAGAACCACTCAAGCAGTATATGAAGTAGATAATTCCATAGATACATTACTAGACCTACTGCAAATGTACAGAGGGAAAGCTGGGGACAAAATTTTGGAAAAAGGAGGAAGTATTTTCACGAAGACTTGTTGTTTGTTGGCCATCCTTTCAAAGGACTCGAAGAGAGCTTCGGTAAGACCTGGCGTCTTCTTTTTAATAGTTTGATTTATGCTTCCTTTTTGCTTTTTTTGTGTGTTTTGGCATTATGTGTATTTGTGGGTGATTTTTTTCCTCTCCTTCTTGCCTAATACCTGTTACCTGTTATAACTAAACTTTGTCGGTGGGAAAATGCAATTCAAGATGGTAAAAGCAGTCATTAGCCAGTGGTGTTTGACTTTGTCACTCAGTGTGACACTGAGTTTTTGATCCCGCGACATCTGCAAGATTATGATGTTGCATTTGTTACTCAAAAAAGTTTTTTGATGAATTTCTATCAGTTTCTTCACAGTACATAAAGTTTAGTTGTTGTTTAAAAAAAAAATAATAATAATTTACTTTTTTCCCCCTACTTCTGAGAGCTTGCCACTACTTTTCAGATGAAGTTAAAATCTTTATTGCCAGTAAAAAATAGCAATACTGTTTATGCCTTCGCATGATATACTTTATCATAACAGAAACAGCCTGGTTTTGAAAAAAAAAAAAAAAAAAGTTTATTTGTTCATACTTATGGATGGAATGGCCAACAACTAGAAGCAATCTGGGTTCCATGCTATGAATAGTCTTCATCAGATTCATTCAAGTTTATCCATCAGATATGAGCATGTTGGTTGTTCAGTCACTTCTAACCACAGTGTTAGTCTGTTTTGATACGAAGATGCACAAAAACACTGATTTGTCTCTCTGTACCGCTTCTTAGAGACATGCGTCACTGACATAATAAAATTACCTGAAATGAGAAATTATTACCATCTGAATTGCAGTTCTAGAATGTTCTGAAGTCTCAGGTAGTATTCCATACATATATTTTGATAGCAGTAGTAGTCAGCATGCTGGTTTTAAAAAAGCATTACCGTACTTTGGGGTAGTAGTTCGGTTTTCATTAAAAATGTTTTTTTTTATTGAACAAAACAGATTTCTAAGTTTAAGTTTGTAGTATTAACAGTGTGTTTTTTTCACCTTTTCTCAGGAAATCCGAAGCATGCCAAGAGTTGTTACGTGCATTCAAAGCCTCTATAAGCTTACGGCTCGTAAGTGCAAAATGGATGCAGAGAGAACGCTTGTGAAACAGAAGACGAACACTTTAATTAGTGGAATTTCCTTTATTCCAGTAACTCCTCTAAGAATAAAGACAGTTTCAAGGTACGTGCCTAAAAATTAGTCTGCAGTTTTTACAGTGACGATATACTGTTGTAATGATAAACCACTGTTTTTTCCGCAGAATTAAACCAGACTGGGTTTTGAGAAAAGATAACATGCAAGAAGTCGTGGATCCGCTCCAAGCAATCGTGATGGTGATGGATACGCTTGGCATTGCCTGCTACTGAAATGTAAATTAATGTATTTGTACAGTAAGTACAGGCGGCTAAATGATTTTAAAAGGAAACAAATAATTGTCAAGCTGCCCTTGAACATGTTTTTGTAATTATCTTTTTGGTATTGTATACAGCTTTTGAAATCCTGCCAAAATCAATTGTACAATAAAATCGTATGTCCTTGTCTATTTTACTGTTGCATTGACGTGTTGTTCTTGTACAGCTCTGAATCTTACCGGTATCACGGTATTTCTCACTCTGACCAACTGTTGCGTAGTTGTTTGCACGTGACAGTTACGTTGGCCTGCCTGATGCGGAAGGGTGTGGGAAGAAGAGAGAGCGTGCTGAATTTAAAAGCAGCTCGTGATTTCCTGGGGCTAGGGATCGCTTTCCGGCAAGCTTTGAGGGATCATGCATGACTGTAGGAAACTTTAAAAAATTTGTTTTTTAAACTACAGGATTATGATGGAACAAAGGGTTCTTGTAAGGATGAATGTAGAAACTCTGATCTGCTATTTTAAGGGAGGTAATTTTGTGAGATTTCGTACCGTCATATCATCAATACATAATAGCGTGCATCTCATCCAGCTGAACAGATGGTGTTCATCACAGCATCTCCCTGAAATTCTGTTCTGCCGTGCCTAACAGTTGCATTTTCTTAGAGCGCGGTCAAGATAACCAAACCCATAAACCGATAACCTCCCACTTTGTGTTATCAGACAGATGTTCTAGATGCGTTCCACGTTTTAACACGCTGAAAAGCGAACACTGAAAATTCAACTGTTGCATGTTGATGCTAAAGATTCCCAAGAAGCGGCATTCATGGTCTTTTTGTATTCCCTTCTATTTGCTGATAAACGTACATCAGTGTCACCAAAGGGTTCCACTTAAAGGGTGTAACAGAAACACTGTACCCAAAAAACTGAACGTAGTTTCTCAGAGTTAATTCTCCTAGGCCTTACGAGCAGAACAAAGAATATCATTACTAATGTTTCACTCGTTTCTAGCAAGTGCAGCCACATTTCCTTCAAAGCCGAAAAGCGCAAAGGTGGAAAAGAGGTATATTTCAAGTAAGCGAGCAAATCCAGTGAAAAGTATTTCATTGATACTAGGATGAGGCTTTCCAGTCCTTCTAATATATTCCTGAAGTAAATGTAAAGGCAGCCTGCATAATTGCAATAGCATCTTCCAGGTCAGCAGATAATGTGTGTGCACGTCTGTGAGGGGGATGATGAAGTAATACCGTAGAAAATGGCTCTCAAATGAGAGCTGAGACCAGGAAACTCACATGCTTTCGTTTATAAGCTTACATTGTAAGTGTAATTAGTACTGCGTAGTAGAAAATTTAAAATTGGTACTAATTGTTGATAGTAACCTGCTTGTTTTGATGTAAAGCTGTAAAGTAGTGTGGCGCTTTCTTTTCCTTTGGCATTTCATTTCCGTCTCCCAAAGCTATTTTAAGCCTGTTGGTATCCTGCTTAGACGAGCGCTAAGAGAAAAGCCTCTCTCGTGTATGGAATTGAATGCAATCCACCTAATTTTAGTTACAGACTTCAAAATGCAGCTATCCAAGGGAAGAAGGGAAATGAAAACAGGTTTCCTAACTATTTGTTATGAGCAGGCGTGTTAGTGAAATTCTAATTATAAGGTCAGTGTAATTAGACAGGGTATTGAACACGAGCGTCTAAGCACTACGGTACCACAAAGAAGCTCATTCTCATTTTATATAACCCCAAAGTCATCAGATGCAAATTGAAACAAATTGAGGAAGCGATGGTAGTATATTACTTAGATGCACTCAAACTCCTAATGGTCAGAATTACAAAAACATTTATAATGCTTCAAGCATAACGAGGACAGGTACAAAACTTTATGCTGCATACGGGGGCCTGGGCAGCCTGGTCTAGTATTAACTGGTCTAGCATTAAATGGGGAGGTCGGTGGCCCTGCATGTGGCTGGGGGGTTGGAGATTCACGATCCTTGAGGTCCCTTCCAACCCTGGCCATTCTGTGATTCTGTGATATTCCGGATCCACTATTTTGACTGAGGCGCAGGTCAAGATTTGGCACGTCGCGCCTTTTGTCGTCGGCACCGTTATTTCTGTATCAACAACACGGCAGCCTTACACCCACCTCTTGCTAGAAGTATAACAGATGACACCTGTAAAGGCATTGTTCAGATTGCATGGAGGAAAACAGTCCACGTGAACGAGAAGCGAAGCAGCGCTCCGCTTCTCCTTTACCGACTTCAAATCAGCTACCTCCATAGCCGGATTAACTCAGCGCTTCCGATCGGCTTTCGACCGCTAAGGAACAGACGGGTGTCTAAAAATCACATCGCTTATGTGTTCATCATCACGAATATATGAACCTAGGTACAGCCACACTCTTCCTCTTTATACTTCTTTTATCCTCAGTCTGAGCACAGCTCTGATTTACTGAGGCAGTAGCAAGAACAGAGCTGGTTATTTTGCACGTCCCAAGACAAGCTGAGGTTAAGCTACTTCAATAGCCTGCGTCATTAAGCACTTAATAAAAATGAGCTTGTTGCTTGGAAACAGAGGGACATGCTTTTTTCATTCAGTAATGCAGTGTTCTGATCTAAAGAATTCAACGAGTAGGAACTGATCAGCAAAGTTTTGTTACCATTAAACGAGGTATTCCTTATAGGCAAGGCAGGGGCAGGGGCAGGGGATAACCCTCCAAGAACGCTCCACCGGTCAATTGTTCTTCAGTGAGTTGTATTTTCACATGTATTACATATTGATCGTATTCCCATAGTCATTAACCTATCCACTTCCAATGACCGTCAAACAGATGTGGTCTTATTTTATGATCTTTGACATCATCTGGTGTCCTTATAGCATTGCGCTGGCCCGTCATTAGTCCTTGGGGGTCGTTTGTCTGTTTAGTCAATTATTCCATGCAAAATTAAATTTTAAAAAGAACTGTGTTCTTGCTTGAGTTAATAAATGATTTTTTTATGTGTACATTAAAAAAAAAAAAAACTCTCATAACTTGTCTTGTTTATTTTTTTACTGAATTTAAATGAGCACAGATTACACAAAAGGCACTGTTTGACTTATCCTTTGCATGCGTTAATCGTAACTCAAAGTTCAGCTCCTCCTATCTTCTTACCATCTGACCATTAGAAACGCGATGCGAGGCGCATCTTCTGAGAGTCCAGCAAAGGGCTCTCTCTAAGAAATACCAAGTCTTCTCGCAGCGTACCTCAGCTAGTTCAGTGACTGGAAGTTTGTTGTGTCGTTTACTGGAATATGCTGCTATTCCTAAAGCAGCAACAGCTCACACAAATAGTTTAAGCCCTGTGCTACGATGCTATTTGTTTGCCAGGGCAATTCCCTTATAATGTTAGAGTAAACTGAAGCCTTTTGCACAGCTGCAAGAGGACCCATCACCGAACCTGCTCCTTCTCCCAGAGCACGTTGCAATATCTCGCACAGTCTCAGCAAGATCTCTCACCTCACGTGGCACAACGCTGCTGATGGCTGTGAAAATATATCCGTAACAAAGTACAGTAAAAACATTTGCAGTTCTACAAATATAAATAATACAAATGAGCGCAGTCCAACTCTTGGGATTTAAACGTAAGAATAAAACTGCTACGTAAGGTGAATTTCATCACTGAAGTCTTTTTGTAGTGCTTGTGTCCATTATTGGAGATAAATAAAATCTCACAGAAAGTCATCCTGCCGATTTATAGGACATGGGAACGTAACCCAGAGCAGCGCAGCACAGAACTGTTTGCAAAGCTCCCTTTCTAATCCACCGGTCTGCAATTTTCTGGCACATATCATTAACCCATTCGGCCATTGGTCACATTGCCCCTCCCGTATTTCCACTGCCATCTTCAGTCACGGTTTCTCTGAGACCAGAAGGTTTAACAAACGTTTTTTTTGTTTGTTTTTGGGGGGTTGGGGGTGTTTTTGGATGCGGAGCGCAGGAAGCACGCGGCGGGGGCCTTTCGAAACCATCCCGGCCGGGGCGTTCTTCGGAGCGTCATTCTGTCACGTCATTCACATCAAATGCGAAGCGATACGTTTGAATTAGGTACAATTATGTAACTTGTTAACGAACCCAACGACGAGGCGAGAAGGAGAAGCGCGTAACAAACTTTAATTTGAAGCGTAATTTAAGTCCGTAATTCAGATCCGGAGCCCACGTGTCGAGCTGTCAGAGCCCCGGCCGGCCCTAACGAGACCCAGCCGCGCTAACGAGCGCCAGGTGCCGCGGGGTCGCGCCCACCCGCGCACAGCCGCGCCTCGTTGGGAGCTGGGGGGCGGAGCCGCCGCAAAGCCTCTTAAGCTCCGCCGGAGGCGGCTGGGATTCACGGGGAGGTTCGCGGAGATCCTCGGCTGTGGGAGCTGGAGCGAGAGCAGGTTCCGTTCCTTCGCGCCTTCGGGGTTGAAAAGCTACGCGAGGGGCTGCTTTTAGAAGGAATCCTTGGGATTCTATGTAACGTTCTCTGTTCTGTTTTGTTTCAGGTTGCAGCGAGACCGCGCGCAGTAAGGATCACCTCGAAGCGGTGAGCAGTAACGAGACGGCGGGCGTTCGGCAGGGAGTCGCGGCGGGCCGTCCGGCTTTCCTCGCTGCTATTTTCAGGGCCGGCGTAAGGCTGCCGCCGGGCTCTTCCAGGCTTTCGGAGCCAGAGTACCGTCGCTGCCCGGCTTCCATCGCATTCCCGAGGTGCCGTCGCTCGGTTCCCCGAGTCCCGACGCGGCGCTTCGCTCCCTCCCGCCGTCATCGGCGGTAGCGAGCGGGGCGGCGCCGTATTGCTTCTGCCTTTGTGCTGGTGAGGATGAGAAGCGACACGAAGGGCTACTAGGACTTAAGGCTATGTTTTTGCAGGCAGAGCGAGGGCCGCGGCGGAGCCTCTCGTCGGCTCGATCCGGAGAGCGTTTGGAGTCACAGGTAAGCGCTCTGTGCTCGGGATTTGTGAGGTCGCCGCTCGGCTACCTCAACTTCTTAGGCTCGGCACGTGGGCTCTCGCGTAGCTTTTTAGAAGGATCTGCACGGGGCCGGGGCCGGCCGTGGACGGCCTCGGTCCCCAAGAAGAGTTTCGAGGTCGCTTCAGCACATCCCGCGTCCAGCAGTGGCGGTAAGTAGGACGGGACCGTGCGTGTCCTCCTTTCCCACAGTTATGCGTAACTTCAGGAGCACTATCTCG